AGCCCACACTCGACAAAATATTATGTCTGATCGGAGATAAAAAAAATGTCTCTTCCTATATATAAAACAACCGTAATTTCATTAACTTAATATAAACAATAAACACACACATACAAACACACATACAAACACACACAAATATGTATACAAATATACATGCTACTGAAAAAATTATTTCGGTTGAGCTTACAGGGAGAAAAGAGAATTTGTAAACAGTGACTATTACTGCTGCTGATGCAAGACTCTTGGTTAAACCGAATCGAGTTCTCACAGTCACTGGCGTGTTTATCTAAAAATAAATACATCCAAATTCACCTCCATGACTGCCGTGCGCCAATGGCTTAGGGGTAGATTTTCCGACATATACCAAATCGGTAGGGTTTCGATCCTGGTTTGGAGCAATCGGATGTCTAGACACACTGATGAGCTGAGAAACAGTCTGTTTGTGGATGGTGATATCTATATATATATTTTCGTATTCAATTCGCTTAGTATTTTCATAGTAGTACAAATTAATGTTTTAAGAGAATTACTTTTTCTCTGCTTAATAAGTTTTGACTGAAGATTCCTTATTTTATTTCTGTGTCGTGTACTTTCAAAAGGTGGGATTTCATTGCTGTCCACAATATCATATACTTTGTAGCTCTAAGCAATACTTTTTTTTCTATTTTAATATCCTTCTGAGTCCCTACATTACAACATATTTACACAAATTCTAAGCTACGTATTTTTTATCACAGCTGATTCTACATTCAATATCTCTTATGAGTAACAAATTCTCTAAGCTTATTTTCTTCATTATATGAAACATTCCTTAAAACTATATTTTTCGTATAATATATATATATATATATATATATATATATATATATATATAAATATATATATATATATATTTTGACAGTATTTTATATATATATATATATATATATATTTTATATATATATATATATATATATATATATATATATACTTCATATGTCCGAAACTCCGCCCACTTCGTGGAAATAATCAAAGATGCTCCCATCCTATCCAACCAAATGGTGAGCTTGGACGTGGTGATTTTGTTCACCAAGGTACCCACGGGGGAGGCACTCTCAGTAGTCAGAGGCAGATTGAATTCTGACTCTTCCCTAGAAGAACGGACCAGTATTCCCATAGATAATCTGATGGAGATGTTGACTTTCTATACACAAACAACACACTTTGGAATGGGATCACACATATATCGACAGGATGAGGGCTTAGCAATGGTCTCGCCATTATCACCAGCAATGGCTAATATATACATGGAATACTTTAAAGAAATGGCATTAGAATCTATATCTCTAAAGCCAACTATATGGTTCAGGTACGTAGATGACACCTTCATACTCCAGCCACACCAGGAAGATGTTCAGGTTCTACTGGACCATGTGAACTCAATAAGACCTTCGATACAGTTCACAATGAAGAAAGAGAGTAACAACACACTCCCATTCTTGGATGTTCTAATATCTCGAACAGAGCATAGGTTCAAGACATCCGTATACCGTAAACCAACATTCACCGGACAGTACCTCAATTTCAACTCCCACCATCCATACAGCCTAAAGAAAGGGATCGTCCGTTGCTTACAACACCGAGCAAAAGTGGTGCCCAAAAACTGGAATAGGCGGGTACAAGAGGAGGACAACAACAGTCAGAAAACAGTCTGCCTGCCTTATGTGAAGAGGTTATCAGAGAAAATACAAAGGATCTGCGGTCCATATAATATCAGGACAACCTTCAAAAGCGTGACAACACTTCGCAGGTATCTCTCTCGAGTGAGACCCTCCCCTGAGGAGAACATGACTAAAGACTGTGTGTACGCTATCCCGTGCAGCTGCGGAAAGGAATATAAAGGAGAGACAGGCCGCCCCCTCAAGGTAAGGCTTCAAGAACACCAGAAAGCTGTAACACGAGGGGAAGTAGAAAAATCAGGCGTGGCTGACCACATATGGGGAGTGAAGGGAGATCACCGCCCCCTGTGGGATCATGTTGAGATCATAGACAGGGAACACCATTGGAAAATTCGAAAACTTAAGGAAACAGCACATATGCTAGGCCACAAAGCCGACCAAGTAAAGAAATAAATACAATATGGGAACCAGTAATAAGGAGTGCCAGAGAAAAGCAATGATAACAAAGTTGCAATATGAACTCTGGTAAAAACGTGCAATGATAACAGCACTAGTAAAAAATGGTTGCTGAAAATATTAGGCTTATAATACCCAGAAAGTTCATACCCAGATGTCCTCAAGGACACATGGCAAAAATTATAATATATATATATATATATATATATATATATATATATATATATATATATATATATTATAATTTTTTTTTAAATATGATTCCATCGCTAAATAAGAGTTCTCATGATTCAAAATCTAGAGCTAAAGACATGAGAACTCATAAGAGGTCTCATGGTTTTAGCTCTTGTAGCGATGGAATCATATTTATAATATATTATAATTTAGGGCTCTACCCGGGGTTTTATTTTAAAAATGATAACAAGAATACTAAAGAACTTCGGATTATTGACCTGATTATTGTTCTATCCTATTTTTCTATATATTTGTACACGTATATATATATATATATATATATATATATATATATATATATATATATATATATATATATATATATATATATATATATATAAATGTATATATAAATTATAACATAGCCATTTTGTTTCAACACTTCTGGTTTCTTGTCAAGTGATAATGTTGCAAGTAAAAATAGTGTTTTTTCTTCCGGAAGTTTATTCCATCATACCAAACTTGCATTCGGTTACACACACACACACACACACACACACACACACACACACACACACACATATATATATATATATATATATATATATATATATATATATATCCATTAGGTATCTATTTAAGTCTCTCTTTATCTCTCTATCTCTCTCTCTCTCTATATATATATATATATATACACACACACACACACACACACACACACACACACACACACACATATATATATATATATATATAAAGAGCGATAGTTGAAAAGCGCAATAGAAATAAAGTGAAATGTACGTTTACTCAGTGTCGTTGTCACTGATACCAGTATTTGAATATATTTAGAAAGCGCAAAAAGAACGGACGATATCTAAACTCTGGAAAATATATGCGTTCATATGACTAAAGGCGGAACAACGCGAGTAAAGAGAAACAAAGAGAGAGAAAGAGAGAGAGAAAAAAATGCTGGAAACTCATGATATGTATTGAATTCAGGAAGAAGGTGTAGCAAATATTTGGAAAGAATGCACCAAGCAGAAGAAAACAGAACATTAATACTAAAAAGCAGCAGATCGATATATTAGAAGAACCATATCGTGATTCGTGACAAGAGTCAATAGAACCAAAGACCATATCTCATGTCAACTCTTCAACAAAGGAATGAAGAAATGACTCGTTCACTCAATGCTGGCAACAAATATAAAAACGCAATATTATATATAAGGTCGGCATCTCACGTGCTTAGGAGAGTTTCATTTTTACAATTGATGCCAGCGGTCCGCGTTCGAATCTTGGTAAAACTCAGAATTTTGAATGCTGATTTTCGAAGTCAGACTTATCTTAAGAATATGGATATTGAAATTGTTGAAATTTTGATTGGTCTGCTCAGAACCTTTTTTTTGACATTTTTTTCTTTTGACAAACTTTGGTTGCTCTAAGAAAAAGAAAAATGATGATTACTATTGTTTCGTTCAATACAAGGCGTAAGAGCCACTCAAGATAGAATATTACAGAATGAAATTGTTGTAATGGAATAAAGAGTAGAGGAAGAGGTGAATATGATGAGTATATATAGTATATATGAAAGTAAGTAAAAAATTAACATCACTTTCGACATAACATATCTTTGGGTTTGTCACATTGCTTTCTGCTCATGCGGACTCATACTTGGTGCTAGTGTGGTTAAGTGAGCGAAGTTTTAGCTTGATTGGACCAATTATCTTGTTGCTATGACAGTTTGAACATGGGCAAGGAGGAACAAAGAACAGTAATCCTATTTCTCTGGTCGGGGGTGTCAGGGGCTGAAGTTCATCGGAGGGGGGGCTTTTAACAAAATACGGCAACAGTACACTACCGCGTCGAAGAGTGTATGAGCGGATCGAGAATTTTCAAAGTGGCCGGGCAAGCATGAGACATATGGGAGGCGCATGAAGCTTGTCAACCTCCATCATTGACTATTCAGCAAGCTCGAGAAATTGTAACAGTCACTCGAAGAGGTCGCATATTCTTTGCAGATTCGGATCACTGCTATTTGTTTCTCCTTGGTGTACACTGCTAGCCGAGCGGCTATGTTTACGCTGTAACGATTCTAGGCTGAAAGCATGAAGAAGTCATGTCACTGACGACTTGACAATGGTGAGGTTCGAACCCAGGCATCACCGGGTATCATTTTCGGAACACTAACGTTGTGACCACGGTGTCATCTGAACTTAACGATATTTTGATTTTCACTTTGTTCAAAAGACTTGAAACTGGTTTCAATATTTTCTTTTTTTATATTAGAAATATTCCCTGTTAATTATGGAATTTGAACTCGGTTCTCCGATTCCTCAATCCGAACTGCTATCCAAAGGCATATTAAATAAAGAGTAGGAAAACAGTGGATGACCTACACCTGAGTTTGGGGAAATGGGTAAAAAAGATTAATGGTAAAGTATTAAATGTTGCTTAGAGCAAATAGATTGATTGATTTGTTATTTACAGCTTATCAACCTCCTGCTGGTTATTTAAAGCCAGAAAATATTTTTAGAATATAAGTTTTTTTTTTAGATAATAATGCTTTTAGTAATATAATGTTTACTAATTAACCCATAGCTAGGGGAGAATAGGTGAATTCATAGCTTTCCCAAGGGTATTTGCGCGAAAGTAAATATAACGATCCCAACTGAAATTGGAATTCGGCTCTCGGATTAACAATTTCGAGCGACTACAGCACCTGGTATTGCCAAACGGTCACCCATCTAGGTACTGACCAGGCTCGATGTAGCTTAACTTTGGAGATCGCACTGGAAAAAGTTGTTTCAACCTGCTAAATCTGTAAGCTGGAACAACAAGGGGTAGGTGGTTGTGGAGAGTCCTGATCCGCATGCTCTGAAGGGACACGATGCATAAGTATTTCTAAACGTTATTTGTAAAAACAGATAAATTGTTTTGATAAAAGCATCAATAATTAGAATTAAGTCAATATTAATGATAATATTAGTAGTAATTAAACACAATATGAAATGTTATGTCTCATTATATCTATAGCATATAATGACATGTCTACGAGAAAAATGATGCATCTTACAGTCGAATTAAAATATACTATATTTCCGAGTGTTGCTTTCTTTGCTAAAGTGGGTGAAGAGTTATGATAAAAAACAACAATAATTAAATAGAATTGAACTAAGAGATGACAGAAAATGTTACATCAAAGTCCAGAAGTACGTTGTGATAGCGAAAGATGCCTTGTAAAAGCTTGGATGATTGGTTGTGTTTAGCGGATTATCAACCTCTATGAATTATTTAATGCCGAAGTGAAATACTTATATTTTTAACATAATTTTATGGATTCAACTACAGATATTTTGTGCGCAATTGTATGGCTTCAAATACAGATGAAATGTATTCTTGTTCAGTTTGCTTTAAATATGTATTATTGGAAATTTTGTTATAAATATGGATTTTTGCTTGGTTGATTTTATTTAGCAGCTTATCAACCTCTGTGGGTTATTTAATGTTGAAATCTAAATATTTTATATGTAATTTTATGGTTTCAGCTACAGATATTTTTTTACGTAATTGTATACTTTCGAGGCAAATGTATTTTATTTTAAATATATATTTTGTAGATCATAATATCACATTCTATAAAAAATGTACTGTTGATTTTTGTTTGGGTGTTCAATATTTGCCAATAACTGGAAACCTTCCAAAAGCTAAACTAAGTTATAAGCTGAAGCAAAATTTCATTAGAAACAATGAAAATAGTACTTAACTGTTACGTAGTATCTGTCCTCCTATGTGGCAGTAAATTCTAGAAAATCTACTCACAGATGAGGAGGGAACTTAATACAGATCTTTCGAGGAATACTGAGAACACTATGGACAGAGAATATGAGCAATGAAGACGATTTGAGGAAAATGGAAGCATTTATACTTCGCATCAGAAAGGGATGCGTAATGAGGATTGAGGGTTTGGAGAATTTAAAACTCATAGGACATACGGAAGGGAAAGAGGGGCAAAGAGAAATAGATTAACCTTTTTAATAAGCTTGTGAAAATGAATTACAGATCAAGGTGTGTGACGGATAGGAAAAAGAAAACATTGTTTCGCGCTATGATAAGTAGGTGTGGAGAGTCATGGTTACCAATGTCCTTATAGTATAAGGTACATAACAGAAGACAATATAGTAGCAATAATGGCAAGCTGCACATGAATGACGAAAAAAAAATAATCTAGAATGTGTATGGTGAATAGTAACTCATCAGAATTTGCTTAGAACTAAAAGAGACATGAAATTGTGGGTAGTTGTGATCACCCTTTTCCTGGAGGCATACTTCATAAGAAAGAAGACTATTTCGGATTGTCGCATTGTTTGTTGAAACGAGTGAAAAGTTATGATAAAGATTTCAATAATTTACATGTATTAAGATGTATAAGATGTGTTATAATATGTAAAGGGATATTGTATTTATATCTGGGTTCCATATTTTATAGATGTTATATACAAACTAAATATCATGTATTCCAAAATCCGAAAAAATAAGAAAACTGAAACACTTTTGGTCCCAAGAATTTGGATAAAGGATTCTGAACATGTAATGATGATGTTGTTGATGATGATGACATTGGTATTGAAAGTATTAGCAGTAGTAGTCAGGTATTGAAACCACAACTGATTGGGTCAAGTCAATGAATCCAACTAACGTTTTTAGCCACTGGGACACACGCCCTTGGGTTGCGAATCCAATACCTGGCTACCGAGTTGAGTTAAAAGGAGATAACTGAAACATCCGGAAGAAGAATTGCACGTGGAACTAGAACAATCTACCCCGGTGGACGAAGGGTTCAGTTCGAAATTCAAATAACCTGAAGAAGGCTGGAGCGTACAACGGCTGAAACGTCGTGAATATGGCAACAAAGATGAGGAAAACTGTCCGAACAATGTTAATAGAGTAAATAATACAGTTTGAGTATCCTTTATCGGAAATTCCCAAATCGGGAAACCGCCAAAATCCGAAAGTTATTCAGGTGCTGATAAGACTTGCCGCAAATGTAAAATTTCAGAAAGCAACATGGCTTCCAACAGCATGATTATTGCGTTACAGCGATAAAGTAAATGATGACTTTTTTTTCAGTTTTCATTACATTGAACTCTAATCATGATCCCTCTCTTGTTTTTATACAAATACTGTACTTGTATGTACTGTAATATTTTAATCAAAACACGACATTGTTGGTAAATACTGATAGCTTACAGAATTTTCCTTCTCACAATTAGTGTTGTCATCGATGATCAATGCTCTCCCTCAAGTTTCTCACACCTGATGTGTTTGGCGTTGTATTTATATATATTTGCAAGTGGCGATCATGTGTTTTTGTACACGTACAGAATGTACAAAACCTTATTTTTACGTGAAATCTTAATTTCACCATTTAAAGATCCGTGTGAGTATTACATGACTAGCGTCATTACCTTTATCTGTATGTACACAAAATTTATTACATTTTATATAGAACTACTTTCAGAGTATATTTTATATATATAAAATTACTTTCAGATATATCTTATGTATATAAAACTACTTTCAGGGTATATTTTATATATATAAAACTACTTTCAGAGTATTTGTATAACATGTGTTATGATATGTAAAGGGATGTTATATTTATATTTGGGTTCCATTTCCAGGTTGACCATTTTATAGATGTTATATACAAACTAAATAGCATGTATTCCCCCACAAAAAAAATAAAAAAAACTGAAACACTTCCGGTCCCAAGAATTTGGATAAAGAATTCTGTACATGTAATGATGATGATGATGATGATGACATTGGTGATGATTACGATGATTGAAAAATACCAGGATCCAGCAAAGGAAGCTGAAGAAGTTAGGGCCATGAAGGGAGAACTACTGCATGTAGTAATGGGTGCTCTTGGAACACGATTCAGAAAAATGTAAACAAAAAAAAAAAAATTAGGGAGAATTGGAATTGAGACCAAGACAACTGCCATGCACGAGGATTCTTTGAAAAGTTACTGAGTTTTGACGAGTCTTCTTGTCACCATCTTTCAAGATCCTATATTTAGTTGACTTTTATATATATATATATATATATATATATATATATATATATATATATATATATATATATATATATATATATATATATATATATATATATATATATATATATATATATATATATATATTTTGCCATCCAGAGACATGCTGTTTCGCTGTATAAAACTCATCAATGTGACTAGACATCCGATTGCCTCGAGCCAGGATCGACACCCGACTGATTTGGCACCAGTCGGAGATTTTTCCCCTAAGCTATCAGCTCGTGGGAGAGAGAAAGGTGAATTTTTACGTATTTATTTTTGAATAAACACACCAGTGACTCAGAGTGCTCGATTCATAGAAGAGCTTTGCATTTTCAGCAGTAGCAGCCACTGTTTAATAATTCCCGTTTATCCTCTAAAGTGCTCGACCGAATTTTTATTTTTTCGCGGCGTATATATTGTCATCCACAGAGAGACTGTTTCGCTGTATCGCAGCTCCTCAGTGTGGTTCGACATCCCGATTGCCTGAAGCCAGTATTGAGACCCGACTGATTTGTCATCAATGATAACACTAATGGAAATAAGGAACTATAATCGAAAACGGCTATAATGGTTCTAAAACATGAGGTCCTCAAAATCTGCATTCTATGAGAAAAGACTGCATAACGTAACATTGAATAATGCGACTAAACCAATCAGAACCTAAAAAGAATGCGTTCTTAATTGGAAAATCAAAGGGATTTAAAAAGAAAGGTAGCAAAACAAATCAGCCATGAAACACGAGGGAGAAATCGGAGGAAAAAAAACTCTTGGAGTATAATACGCTAAGACAGCTAGCCATTCTGATGTAGATTAGATTTACCTATCAGATGCTGACAGGCTCTAGTCCCAAACCAAAAAACCGAACATTTCATAATTGTTGCCCAGGAACTACCAATATAATGTATTGAAACTTAACAGCAGCAGACTGTTCATGTGGAGAACATCTGGTAATAATTGACTACTTAGAATCTGGGGGTGGCCGACTGGCAACAATAGAAAACTTGCAACGTTATGATAGGACCACTCATACATTAGTCAATATGTCGCGCGTTCAATGTCCCTCGCAAAAAAGAATTCGTAGCAACAGAAGTCACCATATGTTGTACAAAATAAAGATGGTATCATATTCTGTAATTTCAACGCTAGTGAAATCCAGGGAGATCGACCAGATATAATAGTGAAAAATAATTTAAATACGCATACTGATAGATATTGCAGCACCTGCCTTCAAATGCACATCTTTCAAAAGGTTTGAGAACCTAAATATAAGGATTGCGAGATAGGAACCAGTAGAATATGGCATCTCAAGACCTGTTGTTATTGGGGCTTTTGGAATAATTTACACTATTTCCATCGTTCGAACTGTTGTCCTCATCTTTATTGCCACGTGTCGGCCGCTATACGGACCGGTCTTCTTCAGGTGATATACGTTGGTATTTCGAATCGAGCCCTTTATCTAGTTTATGAGGTGGATAGGTTGTTTTATTCAAAAAAGGTATGGAATGAAAGGGTTCAGTTCGAAATTCCAACGTATACCACCTGATTAAGTCCGGAGCGTACAACGGCAGAAACGTCATGAATATGGCAATAAAGATGAATACAACAGTCCGAATGATATAAATAGTGTAAATAGCATGAAAAATATATATTGCTGGTAGCCTTAAAATATATGAATTGTATAAAGTCACACTGAAGTGTACTGCTTATATTTTCCA